TTTAGAATTTTTCTTGATAACCTGTTCATTGGTGAAAGAAGGTTATTGCAATCACTCAATATTAATGTGTGAGGGTTGACATCTGATTAAGCTTCAGTAATGTTCTCTTTACAAATGTAGTTGCCCTTACTTTTAAGGCATAGATGTTAAAAAGTGAAATGTCATCTTGATGGACTTTTCCTTTGATGAGTATGAAATATTTTTATCCCATCTCTTTTGACTTAGTTTAGGTTTGAAATCTATTTTGTTAAGTAGTAGGATAGCTGCAGTCTCTTGCTTGTTAAGTACATTATTTGGAATATCTTTCTTTCCAACACTTTATTATGAGGTAATATTTATCTTTGATGTTAATATATGTTTCTTAAATGAAGCAGAATGATGAATCATATGTTGAATACATTCTTCTAGACTGTGTCTTTTTATTGAATAATATTGATATTGAGAGATATTAGTGACCAATAGATTGATAATTCCTGTTATTTGTTGTTGTTGGTGATCAGGGTGGTGATAGCGGTGGTGATGGAGTATATGAGTTAGCTTCCTTTCTTTAACTTTTTTTGGTATGAGACTTCTTATTTCTTGTTTTTCAACCTCCTTGCTTTGGAGTTCTCTTTTGTTTTCTTCTCTAAGGACAGATTTTAGATAAATATTATTTGACTTTGACTTTTTCATGAAATAATATTTATCTCCATCTACAATGATTAAAAGTTTTGCATGTATAGTAATTTGGGCTGAAATTTGTGGTCTTTTAGAGCATGCATTACATTTCTCCAGGGCTTTCTGGATTTTAGAGTCTGCTCTAAGAAGTCAAGTGTAATTCTCATAGGCCTACCTTTATATGTTACTTGGTCGTTTCCCCTTGCAATTTTATAGTCTTTCTTTGTTCTGGACATTTAGTGTTTTGATTATTATGTGACAAGGTTGTCTTCATTTCTGGTCCATTATATTTGGTGTTCTAAAAGCTTCTTCTCCTTTATATGTATGTCCTTCTTTAGGCTAGAAAAATTTTCTTCTATAATTTTGTTGAAAATATTTTCTGAGCCTTTGGGCTAGAAATCTTCTTCTTCTATTCCTATTATTTTTAGGTTTCGTCCCAGATTTCCTAGATCTTAGGGCTAGGAATTTCTTAGATTTAGTATTTTCTTTGACTAATGTGTCAATTTCTTCAGAAATCTTCTCTTCCATGTCTTCTGTTAGTAATGCTTGCACCAGTAGTTCATATCCACTATCTAGGTTTTCCATTTCCAGAATTCCCTATAGCTGTGTTTTCTTTATTAATTCTATTTCCATTTCCAGGTCTTAAACCATGTTATTTGTTTCCTCTAACTATTTGTTTGTTTGTCTTTCTTTCCTGCCCTTCTTTAAGAAATTTATTATTTTACTTGTAAAGAAACTCTATTATCTTTGAAAAGTTGGTTTTAAGGTCATTTTCTTGTGCTTCAGCTGTGTCAGAATTGTCAGATCTTGTCATAGTAGGATAGCTGGTTTCTGGTAGGGACATATAGCCCTTGATGTTATTGATTGTATGCTTCCATAGTTTAGGCATCTAAGTTTGGGATGATTACAGGTCTAGGTACTTATTTCTAAGTTTATCTTTGTTGGATGGTTGTTGTGTTCCTTAGTTTCTGTTTCCTCTTTGGTCTTCTATGGTCTGCTGGCCTGATATTCAGGCAGCAGGTCTGATATCTAGTCAAGCAGAGAGTCTCTTAATGTTAAGTTAATGGTGGTACATGGTGATTAGGAGAGGGGTCACTGGTGATATTTTTAATACGGTTGGGTGCGGAGATAATAGAGTAATTATATATGTGGGCCACCTTTCTGAAGTTCTGGCAGTTGAGTTTGCCTATCTCTTCTCTCAACTGCCATGGCCTTCACATGTCCTTTTCACTGGCTTGGCCTGTACCTGAGCAGCTATCTGTTCAAGTTGTGGAAAAGAGCCTAGAATGAGGGTGAGCAGTGTGTCAGGAAGAGGTAATAGTTATTTGGTTGTGTCTTTAGGATCTGAACCAAGGATATAGGAAAGTTATGAGGGCCAATGGGCCACTTTCCTGTTCTTTTGACTGAACCAGAAAGACTGAATAACTAAGGAGAATCTTCCTCAGCTCCTCCTATGTGATTCCTAAAACATCACATAGGAATCTACCATTAGGAGTGTGGTGTGTGTTCACAGATGACCGTGAAAATCACTATACCATAATATGGATGACATCATGCTTCTAAGGTGGTTATTTCTGTCTTTGAATTCAGCATCAGTCAAGACATCATTTAGGTCACCCATGTAAAACATTCCATTTCCTAACCAATTGCAAAGTCATTTGAAAGTTAATAATCCCTTCAACTCAGTTAAACAAACACTTAAGGATATCTAATCTGATCAAGACTGTGTATTGACACAACTCTATATATCTTGTTCAGTTTATAACCCTTAGATTTGAAGAGACTGAACATTTTTAGACTGACAGCCAAGTTAATAATATACCTTCATATTGCACAAGTCTTGTCCTGGTACCTTATTGTGTAATTACCCTGTTTATTTATCCTGCCTTTAATGCAACAATGTCCCAAACAACTTTATTTGCTTTGGAGTTGCTATGTAATGAGCCTTTATTATCTAAGCTATTGCACAGTTTAAATCATAATTATGTATCCTATCATGCCATAGACTAAGAGTAATGCATGTGTGTATTTGTGTGGTGCAGTAATCATTAGCTAAAGTGGCCAACAGTTTGGAAGCAAACCAATAGATAAATATGTATCATAAGCATTGCAAGCAGCCCATAGATGTACTTTGACAGTTGTAGGCTTACAAAACTTTTTGGTTTTCTGAGTGTTGCAATGTTTGTTGGGGTCAATAAATCAGTTTTTTCCATGTAAAATTGTAAAATATTAGGAAAACATAAATCATCTCTTTCCCATGTTATGGTTTATGTGATGTTCAACAAATATAGAATAAAGCCGTTTGTTAGGAACTCATACATGAGTAATAGTTCATGACAGAAAAACAGGCATAAATCTCAGATAGAACACCACCTGTTGCATAAAGAGGCAAGTCACAAGAGAAAAAGTGGAGAAATCAACCTTGGGGATTTCTCTTGATCAAGTTATTCCAAGGGTGATGTCCTAATACATTTGGGTGCATCTGAAACTATTTTTAATATATTTAACTGACACAGGACTGGGAACATATGAGTGAAGCATCTCTGTGAATCTGAGGGTATTATTAAATCCATATATACACACACTTTCCTGTAGCAAGACATGGGCTTATGGGCAGTTTTTTGTCTTGTGTTTCTCCCATAACATTTAATTAGGACTGTAACTATTCATAATTATGGTACAAAAGCAAATGGTGATTCAAGTAAAATGTAGTGTTTGTTTACGCAGGATGGTGTGAAATGGGTCTTCACATCAAAAGAAAACTTTTTGGGTTTTCAAGACAGGCTTTCTCTGTATAGCCTTGACTGTCCCAGAACTCATTCTGTAGGGTAGCCTGGCCTCAAACTCACAAAGATCCACCATCTCTCCCTCCCAAATACTGGAATTAAAGTGTGTCACCACTGCCTGGCCAAAGTATATGTTCTAAAGTTTCAGAAAATAAGATTGTCATTAGGATATTTGAACAAGTATTTGTAAATCGAAAAAACCTTCAAAATAGAGAAAAGAAACTAAAGCTTCTCTGGAAAACAAGGTTTAGAACTGGACACGCTTGAAGGGTTTGTACTTAGACAGCATCTTTTAAGACTTTAACTTACTTTGGTTATTCCCAAGCATCTGTTTATTGCATTTAGCATGACCTAAAACATATATAATTGTGTATTCTCATTGCTTGTCTCTGTAATCAAAAAAGTATTTTAATAAAAAATTGAAATGAAAAAAGAATATTCCATTAATTAAAAAAGGCAATGAAAGTAATGCAAGATTAACTTTAGATTTTGAGGGAAGACATGATTGCTTTGCCAAAAGTGCTTATGAATTATAATATTCCTTCTATAATACACAGGAATTCCAGAGGAAGGAATACACATGTATAAAGATTTAGAGATGATATTTGTATGCAAAGATTTAATGTTTTTATCAGTGAAGACAGCCACAGAAACATTAAAAGAAATTTAATGTCAATCAGTCTACCTCAATTTTTTTTATTGTTAGGATTTTCTTTTTTTTAATTAATTAATTTATTTATTTATTAAAGATTTCTGTCTCTTCCCCACCGCCGCCTCCCCTTTCCC